TGAGGTTGGAGCATCGTTGCCTTCACTTCAGTGCATGGGGGAACCCAGCACAGAGAGGTGAGGAAATAAGGCCACTCAGAAGTTGGTACTTGACAGCCCAGCCCTAGACTGCACACATGGCCTCTATGGTTTGACAGACACTTGGCTAAACCTTCTCCCTTGGTTGACCCTGTTCCACAGCCAGCTTTCGTGTTTCGTGTGAGCCCAGCCCAGCTGAAAAGGGCCTCTGGGAAGTGACGGCACCTGTGTGAGGTGCTTGGGCTGTGCTCAAGCTCTCGGTGGTAATGGTCCAAGAACACATCACTTTGTCCATTAGAATGAGTTTGCGTGTGGGAACAAGCCTGGTTCGTCTGAGCATGGGCGTGGGCAGTTCTGTGGTGTAGTTTCGCTGGCCAGGCTAAAACATCAGCAGCAGGGGAGAAAGCAGGAGCTGAGTAGCCAGGGTGATTTCCTGATAGCAGATGGGGGGGAGGGGCTATGCTAAGGTTTGATACCTTGGGATATGGACCTGCTCTGTGGGAAAGGAGGTTCTGGAGCATCAGCAGGCCTTCTTCCTGCGGTGGGCAGGCCATGTGCTGGTCACCACTCCCCAGTCCTCCGTTTGAGCCCAGGCGGGAGATGCAGATACACATTCCAGATTCCACTAGAGAAGCTTGATTCACAGGCGCCTGCTCAAGGATGCAAAGCTGCCAGCCAAGCCCGGTGCTCTTTTCTTCTGCAGAGAGAGAAGTGTGTAGGTGCAGGGCCAGAGGATCACAGCAGGCAGGCTCTAGAAGGCTCTTAACTCCCACATCTTATACCATTAGCCCATTAGCTGTGGCTGGTTTGAAGCATTGGTGCAAGCCAGTGCTCGGTCAGCCAGGTCCCCTGTAGGTTCTGGGTGTCCTTCAACCTTGCAACTCTGGCCTACCCTCCTCCTGTGATCATGAGCATGCAATGTGGCATGCTTTCATTTAGTGTGCTTCAGTAGCCTAACATTAACCAGTGTGTATGTGCATACGTGTGTGGCAGGGTACACGTGTGTATGTGTGGAAGACACAAGTCAACCTGTAGTGGTATTATCAGGAGTTAGCTGCTTTCCTTTTTGAGTCAGGGTCTCTCCCTGGGATTAATTGATCAGACTGGACTGACTGGCCCATGACCTTGGGACTAAATGATTAGCCTAGACTGGCTCTTGGGACTAACTGGTCAGCCTAGACTGGCTGGACCCTGGGTCCCCAGGGCTCTTCCTTGTTCCACATCTGCAGAGCTTGGCTTTGTACATGGTACTCGGGGTTGGATGAGGATCTTTATGCTTGTACGGCAAGCACTTTAGGAACTGAGCTCCCTCCCCAGCCCACATTAACCTGTATTTTTAAAAATGTGTGTGTACATGTACACATGTGTGCCTGTGTGTGCACTATGGTATGTACAAGTGGAGATCAGAGGACAACTTGGAGTCATTTCTCTCCACCATGTGGGTCCCATGACCAAACTCAGGTCATCAGGTTTGGTGGCAAGTGCCTTTATATACTATGCCATCTTGCCCACCCACTATTAATCTTTTTAGAAAGCACAATTTGGTGCAATTTGGTGGTATCTTGTACACACACACACACACACACACACACACACACACACACACCACATCCCTCTTAGTCCCCAAACATTTACTGACCTCTAGCAATCTGCTTTGGTCTATATGGATTCTCCCATTCCAGTCATTCCATAAGATGAAACCATAGGCTGTGTGACTGTTTGTGTCTGGCTTCTTTCACTCAGCCTAAAGTTTTCCAGGTCCAGTCACAGGGTGACATACACCAGGACGCTGTTCCTTTCATGGTCGAATAGTGTTCTGTTGTATGTGTGAACTGCAGTTAGTAAACCACATCACCTGTTGATGGGCTCTTGGGACCAGTGTTTCTGACAGGTGATGAATAGTCTGTCCATGCACTGGACAAGAGGTCATTTGTCTCCCTCCTTGCTCTGTTCTGCATGGGATAAACTGGTGCATGGACATTTGCTCCCCAGAACCTTGTCTGAAGTGCCAGATTCATTCGTTTGCCACCTTTGGACTTGCTGGGGCCTCCCCTCTAGAGGTCAAGGTCTTTCCAGGCTAATGGGCTTGGAGCAGGAAGGCCAGGACAGGTAAGAAGTTCCTGGAGGCCATAGGAACTGAGAAGTTAAAGTCATTGCTTTCCCCATGACCCAGGGCCTTGCCTCTCCCAGGCCTCCTGTTCAGTTCAGTTCTGTGAAATCCCAGCCAGGGACTGGTGCTGAGGCTGTTACCTTTTAGAATCCTTAACTAGTTTATTAGAAGCAGTCTATTAGAAGTCTGTTTGCCAGACTAACTCAGCAGAAACTCTCCAGCACCTTGAGCCTGCCACCGTGCAGTCCGGAGACCAGGGAACCCCTAGGCAAGTCAGGGGCATCTTTGTCTTCTGCAAACAATGACTGAAATGTGGCTTCTGAGAGCGAAGTTTTGAGGGTGAGAGTGAACTAAAGGACATACTTGCAGGTCACCCTGTTAAAGAAAAACATCTTAGCTGCATATGTGACCATCCTCACAAAGAACCTCGGTATCACTCAGATATGATAAGGGTCTACAAAGGGCTGTTTATACAACCCTTAACGCATAAAACCAATGCAAGAGCTAAGATATGACTAGGAAAAACAACCCATGTGCTGGGTGTGGTTTGACCTTTGGTTGTAAATGACTATCATTGTATCTGCACTCTAGAATGGTCCAGAAGGCAGATACACATATCTTATGACTTCTTATATGTGACATTTGAAATAGTTCATTCATATCAAGGTAGAACGAGAGTTTTCTAGAAAGTGAAAGGAGTTGGGGAGATCACTCAGTGGATAAAGGGCTTGCTACACTATCATGAGAACTGGAGTTCAGATCATAGTTACTCCCTGTAACCCCGGTGCGTGGGAGGTGAAGACAGGGTACTCCTTCTGCACATTGGCTACCCTAGTCAAGTCAGTGAGGTCCAGGTTCAGTGAGAGACCCTGCGTACACAAAGGGACAGCACGCGCACACACACACACACACACACACACACACACAGAGACAGACAGACAGACAGACACTGACTCACATACTTGAATGGACTGGGGATCCAAGTTTGATGGTGCACGCACGCCTTTAATCCCAGCATTCGGGAGAACCGGGAATCTGTATGGTTCCCAGGGTCTAGCACTGCTGATACCTCACTTTGAGAGCCCCTCTCACATACATAGTTACAGGGAGCAACCATACAGCCTCTTTTGGGGGTGACTCCCACTGCTGCTGTTTTTGATCTAAGGGGTTCATGTGACTGACTGAATTCAGGGGAAGCTAAGAGGGTGTTTGTGAGGTGTCCTTCAGCCTTCTTGCTTTTTGTGTGCCCTGTGCAGGGTCTCACCTCTTGTGTCTTCCCTCTGAGACACCTTCTTGAGAGCTGGGCATCTGTAGTTACCTGTGTGAACCATGGACCTGTGACTTTCCATGAACCCCTGCACTTGGCTTTCAAGTTCCTTGTTTTTGGGGATCCCTTAGTAAAGAGAGCCGGGAGGAGGCAGGACATTGCATGTGTGATGCTTCTGCTGTCATATGAAGCTGGAGCTGCATACTGTGTGCTGAAATAAAAACTATCATGCTTCTTCCTCCCTGTACACCCCCAGGTAGTTTGGGGGTATCTACCTGGACCTGTAGAGTGGGCAAGTACACCCCAGGCCCTCTCACTTGCTCATAGGGTCCTAGGCACTCAGACCCGTGAACAGATTCTTCCTGAGGTCCACTTCTAGAAGCAACCTTCTCTAAAGAAGAGGTCAAAGTATCATCTGCTCCTGTACTAGGTCTTGGGTCCCAAAAGCTGAGTTTTCTTTGCTGTAGGCCTGCAACCTGTCTCAGAGCTGTGTTAGCCTCATCTTATATCAGGCAGCCCTGGAGCCAGCCTGGTGGGGAGCCAGGCAAGAGGGAGCCTAGGGATTGTTCCCCTGGGGAGCCTTCTCACAAGGGTTTATGGGCTCTTTGGAGCCACCCAACCTACTTAGGGACTGTAGACACCTACCTCCAGCACCCCGTTCCCTTCCTTCCTCTGGAGCTGGTAAGGGGATGGGACAAGGGGAAGCCAGGCATTTTCTGGGCTCCCCCTGCTTCTCTGAGGCTGGATTAGAGGCACTCAGTTCCCTCTGCACCAGCAGTAGCAGCCCAGTCTGTAACTGACTTCCCTGGGCCGTATGGACCAGTAGCCCAGAGTCTAGACTGTCCCCACCGCCACTAAAGGTGCACATGACGTGGTATGGCTGCCCCTCCTGCAGCGGAGCCTCTCTGAGTGAGCCACAGACTAGCCCTCCAGCTCTAAGTAGACTACAAGCTAACTGTTATTTTAATTTTTGGTCTCTGTATGAATGTCTCCCTGGTTTCCCAGGGGCACGGTGCAACTGCTTTGAGCCCTTTCTGAAAGCGCCGTGAGTAATCTGGGTCCTTCCGTAGGAGTTTGCAGCAGGTGCGTTTTTGCTCTTTTGAGGCCAGAGGCTAGAGCTCTGGACTATGTGGGATTTTCTTTCCAAAATCGCCTATCAGAACTTCCCAGAAGGGTCTGATACTCTGATGGTTCTAGAGTTAGAGACTTAATTTTACATCCCTGCCTGAGAAGTCCTCTTAAGCGGGTGATTGGGTAGAGCGGGAGATTACAGCCACATGGCAGGAGTCCAGATGGCGATGGAGACTTCTCCCAGTCGCCCCGCTTGCGGTGCACACCCCAGCACTCCCTCCTAACCCATCCCAGCACCTGTGTTCAGGAGGCTGTAGGAAACAGGCCACCCTGGGCAGGGTCAGACAGCAGCTCAGCCCGCCTGCAGAGGCTGCACTGTGATAGAATAACAAGCGGTTCTGCCCCAGGCGTATTGCTCCTGCCACACTCTAGGCAGGCCACAGGAGGGAGGGGCCGGTTTGATCTGCAGGTGAAAGGAGGCTTTTATAAATAGGTCACCTTGTTCCACATCCTGAATTTCATTCTTTCTCCATCTTGTGTCAAAACAATGGTTTTACTGTTCTGGGGTCAGAGGTAGTGAGGGTGAACCGAGCTTCAGGAGGTGGGCGTGTGTCTGCTTACTCCCTGGTGGCCCTCCTCTGTCCACACCCATCCACTGCCACCACCACCACCACCCACTCCTGTCACCTTGGCAGTGCCTCCTACAGTAAAAGGATATTTTTTCACAGAGGTGGGACTCTTGATTCAAGTCATTGGAAGGTCTTTGGGGAACGGTGAAGTCTGCCGGGCCATTCACTGAAGGGATAGGATAGGATTCCCAGTCGGTACTGGCAAGTTCCGAAATCCTGCCTGAGTCAAGTGTTGAAAGTTGTCCCCTTAGATGTCCCTCTCCTCCTTCCTCCTCCTCTTCTCTAGAGTTGGTCTCTTGAGGCCAGAGCAGTCCTGGCTTTTATGAAACAGCAATATGAGGCCCATGACAGGCAAGACGTGAGTAGAGCCCACCTGGCTGAGTCGGAGAATAAAGGAGTGGCGTTGGGGCAAGCGACACTGGACAGGTGCTGCCCTTGGGTGGGCAGAGTGAACTGGTGGCGTAGAAAGAGTGCAAGCCGCACCCTGGAGAACCAGTTCCAGTGGCCTAGAGCTTGACCAGGATTCTTAGCTTTCCTGTCAATCACAGACAGCAAGGTCTAAAATGAACCTGTCGTGACTGCTAGCGCTGCACCCCGGCGTGACTACTGTAAAATTTCTGGCATCTATTCTTCTGGGTAGTTCTCAATGCCTGCAAACAGACACACATACGTGAAGAGATTGTTTAAATTCTGTTTCTTTGGTGATGGGAGCACACGCTGCATGTTTTATGATCTGCTTTGGAACAGCCTCACGGGACATTTCCACAGCCTGTCCCAAGCTGCCTCAGTCCCAGGGCTGCTCAGCCTGCCGCTCTGCCCACTGTGGATGAACTGGACTCTGTGCTGCATGAGATGTCTTCATCTGCAGGCTCTTTTATGTAGGCCTGGTTTGTGGTTGGGGGAAGAAGGGGACATCACAGATGAGGAGTATTTCAAATACTCCTGAAAAAGCATTTGACACCTGGTTGAAGGCATGCCACCCTACACAGCCCCTGCTGAGAAGGCTGTCCCGTTTAGGGATCTGCCCATCACACTAGCTGATAATTTTCTGCCAAACTCTTCTGTCCTCTGTGATATCGTGGATAACAACAAGGGGCCCTTGACTAAGAAGAGCACAGAAGGCTGCCCGTGGGAAGCTGAGGCTTCAGGAAGTTCCCGTCTTGTTAGAGCCAAGCTGTGCATTTGAACGGCTATTACATGCCACCTGTAGTAGACGTTCAAATACTCAGCATATTTGGTAGGCTCCTGGTGTCCTTACGGCGTCTATAGGGAGTCTGGATTGAAAGCGTTTGCCTTTAACTGTTGTTGCCACTCACAGTGAACCTGGGACTGAGCGATGACCCCAGCTCTGTGTGTGGCAGATGTTGGGGGAGGGGTGGGAGTTCTTCCTTAGTGGAAGGCGGAAGAAATTAAAACCACAAGGTTTAGTGTGGTCTGGTGGATGCAGACACCCCTTCCTTAGCTCCTACGCTTCTGCTCTGGTTCATGCTAGCGTAAAGAAATATAGAATCAGTCAGGTGGGGTAAGGGGGGTGTAAACAACGGGCCTCTGTGGTGTGTGTGTGAGAGAAAGAGAGAGAGAGAGAGCGCATGTGTGTGTAAACCGGCCTCTGTGTGTGTGTGTGTGTGTGTGTGAGTGTAAACTGGCCTCTGTGTATAAACTGGCAAGTATACGTGGGCCTCTATGTGTGTATAAACTGGTAAGTGCATGTATAAACCGGCGTGTGTGCATGTGTGTGTGTAAACTGGCCTCAGAGTCGCATATCAGCTCACAGGGCCAGTGTCTAGAGTGCAGATATCTTTGCTCTTGTTCGCTGTGGTCCTGACCCTGCTTCTCATGTTGGTTTCCTTCTGTGTTTCTCTTACCCACCCCACCCTCCAGTCAGAGAGGAAGGTCTCAGCATGTGCTTGGCTTTGATATTGGGAATGGTCTCCACCATTTCCAGGCTGTGACCAATACTGTGCCAGGTGGAGCATGGCTTGAGCTGGGATATGAGGATCAGAAGGGTCAGAATTGTGAAATTCTATGGGTGGGGATATCCCACCCATAGCCTTGGGGTCTACCCCAAGTCTATAACCCCCTTTTCAGTGTGCTTAAGTTCAGCCACACATCCCTAACAAGAGAGCAGAATACCCAGGCAATGATGGGAGCATGCCTCGCCTGCTGTGAGGCTGCGCACATGGCGTTTCCTGAGTGATCAGCCAGGTAGCTTTCATGGCACACAGCCCCCGTCACTGGTCTTGACTCTGGAACAAGAGCTCTGACTCCAGAGGAAGGAGTTCTCTTCTGTGACGCAGGACGTTCTCAGTGTGTTGTGCGAAGAGTATTCTTTCTCCCGTGCGCAGCCTGCTTGCCGTCTGGTGATGGTTTCCCTGCTGTCCTTGGTTGATCTTTAATCTGATTTTACCTGGAGAAAAACATTGCCAGGAGAATGACTGGCCATGTTCCCTGCTGCTCAGTAAGAGCGACAGATCTGTAGTTAGAGCTCCTACATACACACAACACACACACACACACTCACAGATGTGCACATATGTACACCTGTGTGCACACACTCTTGGCTGGGATGGCTGCCCTGCTTTATGGGGGCTATGATGGGGTAACGATGTGACATGTCTAATCTCTCTGAGGAGTGTCCCTGGTCCTTGGGAATCACCAGCACTGTAACTGTCTGACAATTGGCAGGCACGGTCCTGAGGACTAAGCACAGTAGGATGTGTTCATTATTTGGGGTGGCCAGAGTTTGGTAGGGCGAGAGGGGTGCCAGCTATGACTTTGGGAGTTGGCTGGCCGTGAGGATGGCCGGCAGGTGCTGTGTGGAGAGCGTGGTGGTGAATGCCAGAGTTTACTTTCTGAGCAGGCGAATTGCTAAGGGACTCAAGTAGGTGTCCAACTTCCAGGCTTCTGTCCTGGCTCCTCGCCTGGCCGACCACTGCCATCGCTATACTCAGCGGTGCCCACGTGTATACGGCATGCTTGCCTGTCTGTGGAGGCATCCACAGCTGCCGTGAGTGGTGGAGCGTTGGGATGGTGGTCCAACCCTGTGAGCCTTCTACTCAGCCTACAGGAAACACATACCCACTCCCTTCCCGCCCTTCACGGTCTCCTGGGTAGGGACGAGGGCATGGCAACCTTAGGCCCTGACACTCATGTGGCACTTGGACCCCATAAAGCTTGAGCTTCTGCTTTGTTCCTAGAACAGGAGGAAATGGGGGTGACCTAGAGCCGGCACCTGTACCCGTTCCCCACTTCCTACCAGTAGTACCCACTGCTGGACTCCCTACTGGCTCAATGAAGCCTGTCTCATCCATTGTCAGCCACAGCTCTGCAGACCCACCCATGTTCCTGTCACTCAGCACCCATGGATGGCACACACACCCCATCCCGAGCTCTGTGTCCAGGTGCTTTGGGGAGCAGGTCAGCAGGTTTTCGCAGCTTTGTAAGTAGGGTCAGTCGGGAGACTGTGGCCCTGGGGTAGATCCAGCTCTTTGTTTTCTTACAGTTTTACTGGGACATGGACACACCTATTTGTTTACACACTGTCTGAAAGCCTAAAATGTTTACTATCTGGCCATTCACAAGCCAGGCCCACTGAACCTGGCTCAGTAGAGTCCTTCATCTTGATCCTCTGTAGGATGGCATTCCAGTGCCCAGATCATGGCCTGAGGCAGGGTCCCTCTGTTGGGCCAGGTGCGGTAACCAGGAAGAGCGACTCACAGTGATCTTTGTTCAGTGAATGAGCACATTCTAGAACATCAAAAGGAATATGCCAGTTGTGCCAGACCCTCTCTAGGACATTGTCTCCATTAAGTTTCAGAAAAGCATGTGACACACAGATGACATTCATGTTATAGATGAACAAATGGGAAATTGGCAAAACCAAGGGTGAATCTTAGCTGGTATATTCAAGGCACAGTCGTCCTGAGTGCATTTGGGAGCCTTGGAGACGGGCCTGGGAACACATCCTTCAGGCCACAGCCCAGGGAAAGGTGAGAATGGAAGGGTACGTCTGCATGGGGGTGTTTTTTTTAAAGTTATGTGTATGTATGTGGGGCAGGGAATGTGCACATGAATGCAGGTTCCCACGGAGGCCAGAGGTACCAGGATGGCGCCGCAGTCAGTTGTAAACCGCCTGGCATGGGTGCTGGGAGTGGAACTTGGGTCCCCTGTAAGAACAGTGTGTACTTTTAACCTTTGAACCATATTCCCAGTTCCCTGCATGGGCAGTTTTAAAGTGGACGAAAGAAGGGAAGCCGGATGGCTTTGGCACCCTTGTAGGCTAGGAGGTGGCTAGCTGTGCACAATAGGACAGTGTCATCTTCAACCAACAACCTGGACACACAGGAAAGATGAGTCAGGAGTGACTCGAGGATTGCCATGGCAACTGACCACTCAGAAGGTGACTCAGATGACGGGATGGTGGTGCGCTTACAGCAGAGGGCTTGGACCGTGTCCTCTAGCCTGCCCTTCGGCAGGATCATTTCACAATACTGTGGATACTTTCCCCCATGTTCCCCTCTCCAGTTCCTCCTTCCCACACCTTCCCTCCCATGGACACACACCTTCACAGCCGTTCCATGCCTGGGGCTCTCACGCTTCCCACAGCTCAGCATAGCGTGGGTGGACTCAGTGGGCCCTACACAGACCATTGGTAACATCTCAGTAGAAGAGAATGTGGGACTGACCTGGACAGATGGTGGACGCGCCACCCTCGGGTCACTCTTTTGATTGTTCATTCTAAGGCTGCCAGGACATCCTTTCTCATCCTTACTTTATGCTTGCCTGCTGCAGCCTTTGCAAAACTTGGTTCAGTAGAGACAGAGTAGGATCCATAATCTCTCTTGGGGACTGGCAGGCTGTGGGCTGGCCTGTTTTTATACATAAAGTTTTATTGGAATGCAGCCATGGACATCAGTTTGTCTGCCTTTCACGGATGCTTTTGTGCTCTGATGAAGTTGAACAGCTGTAGTCTGGCCCACAAAGCCCAAGACAGTTAGCATGGAGCCTTTACACAGAAAATTTGCCGTTTCTAGGTATTTTCACTTGATCTCTGCTGCCATGATAAAACACTCGGGCCAGAAGCAGTTTAGGTGAGGAAAGCTCTGTCACTGAGGAATGTCAGGGCTGTAACTCAAGGAGTTTGAAGCAAAAACCACAGATGAATGAACAAGCCAGCAATGTGAGACCCTGGGTCATTTAAAGTCTTTAAAAGGTCTGATGATGTCGTCCCCGGTGGCAGAGGTCTTGCCTGGCTTATACAAAGCATGGGGTTTGTTATCGTTGTATTTGTTTAGTTTTTTTGTTTGTTTGTTTGTTTGTTTGTTTGAGACAGGGATTGTCTATGTGACAGCCCTGGCTGTCCTAGAACTCATACTGTAGACCAGGCTGGCCTCAAACTCACAGCAATCCACCTGCCTCTGCCTCCCTAGTGCTGGGATCAGAGGTGTGTACCACCATTTCCCGGCTACAAAGCTTTAGGTTTAACCCCCAGTATCACAACAAAAGATGAGAGAAATGAGGATTATTGTACCTAGACATTCTGTGAAGTGGGGTCACAGAATCCACTGGGCTTTGTGGAACTAGTGTCAACCTCAACTACAAAGGGACATTTCAAGTCTAAGTAGATCTGGGCACAGTGGTCCTGCCTTGTCCCTGTAGAGATGTCTGTGTCCTTGGGATTGGGAGCTAGGGTGGGGCTGTGCCACGTGCTTTCTCTGGCACTAAGGAAGGAAGGAATGACAGCCACAGGATAAGGGCATTGAGCACACGCGGCCACCTAGATCTGTCCCCTGGGACTGAGCCTCTGGGAGACCTTTCCACCCTGAAGGCGACATTCTCATGGCGGTCTTTCCCAGCCAAGAGGACAGCGGCTTATGCTGGTCCCGTAGCAGACCTGTCCCACCTCCTGGACCTGTGCTCGCTGACGAGGACCAGCGCTCTCAGGTCCCCAGATGCTCAGCCTGGCACCCCACAGCCTTCTCACACTAGACTCCTTCCCACTCCTTTCATCCGCTTTATTCAGGTGTCCTAGAGCCTCGTGGGACAGGTGACTCAGCATGACCCTGTTTCCCAACAGCTGAGTCTCAGTGGCCCTCACCCATCTTCGCTGATGCTCATTCTGTTAGATTATGGAGCCAGGAGGCTGCCCTCCTCCTTACCCTGTTGATCATAGGCGCCTCTTCAAAGTGGGGAGTCAGAAGTCCCTTCTGGAGGCCAAGGAGGGTTTTGTGGGTTTGTAAATGTATGTGCAGTGTGTGTGTGTGTGCGCGCACGCATGTATGTACATGTGTTCGAGACTGGAGGATGGCAGTGGGTTCTTTCTCACCTCTCCACCTTGTGTGTTGGGGGTGTTTCTCTGAATTCACTGCTTTAGCTAGTGATCCAGCCAACTTGCTCTGGAGGGAGCCTGTCTCCCCTTCCAGGTGCACTGGGGTCACGGGGGAGGGGGAGGGGAACTGCCACAACCACCCAGCTCTTATGTGGGCTCTGGGGATCTGAACTCTGGTCCTCACACTTGTGAGGCAGGCCCTTTGACCGCTGAGCCATCTTTCCAACCCTCCAAGTTTGGATGGCAGAGAGAACCTGCTCATGAGGAGGACCCGGGAGTGCAAATGCTTCGCCATCTTCCCTGAAGTCAGGCTGGGCAGGGACACGTGGGGGAGGTGCTGTCGGCTCTGCTCTTAGCCTCCTCCTCCTCTCAGTCACCACTAGAGATCGAGTAGACAGATGTCGCGAGGGCTCCCCTCAGTCCCACTTCCCCATCCTCGTTAACAGACCCTGGAGATGGTGAAGTCAGAGAGGAAAGAGGCAGTGTGCAGTTAGGCCCCTGCCACAGCATCCCTGTTACCGTGCTGTAGCAGGGAGACTCAAGCGTGAAGCATTGTCCTCTAGTTGAAGGCTAACTTCTAACAAAGCAGTTGACCATCTGCAAGTTAGCCAGAACCACAAGTGGGTGAGTGGATGAGCCTTGCCCTTCCGTGTCCATCTGAGTCCAGGGTCCAGCCAGGGGCCTTGAGGAAAGCCTTGTTGATGGTGCTAGTCTGGGTAGGGTATGGACCTCTGGGCCTCAGCACCTGGCCGGGTGTGCATGTGCACGCAGTTCCTTAATCAACCTGCTGTCTGCGTTGGGATTTCCTCCCTAGGGCCACTTGGTTCCCGACTATCAGAGGTGATTCTGCTGGAGAAGAGGGGAGGGTGCACTCGGTGTCCTCATCTGCCTGGGCTGCACTGCGGGTTCTACGCAGGGAAGCAAAGCAGTGCATCCCCTCGTTCTGACCAAGGTGTCACTGAGTTGAGGCTTACTCCAGGGTCTGGGCCACCACCTAGAAGCCCCAATGGTGTCTCAGACTGACCCAGCACATTGAGCGCAGGTCCCAGTCCCCAAGCCCACCTCTACCTCTCCACACAGGCCGTGGGGCAGATGGCCCCTTTTCCTTTGTGACAATATAGCCACAGGTACGGGGGCATTTCATTCTGCACCGGGGTTCCAAGCTGCTGAGACGGATTGGTGTGTGGAAGTCTGCGTTCCTCTTTAATCTTCCCCCTTCCCCTGCACCCCACTCATCCACTCTCCTGTTTTTCTTTCCACCCATTAGGCAATACTGAATGCTTCACAACCTTCGGAGATCGCCTAGCAACCTTCCTTAGGAATTCTGTCTGGCCCTGATTAGAAATCTGGAGTCAAAGCCCCAAGATTGATGAGTTTGCCTTGGGAGTCAGTGAAAAGGTGAAACCAAAGGTCAACATGGGTCAGAAGGTCACGGGAGGGATCAAGACTGTGGACATGCGGGACCCCACATACCGACCTCTGAAGCAGGAGCTCCAGGGTCTGGATTACTGCAAGCCCACCCGGCTGGACCTGCTGCTCGACATGCCCCCCGTGTCCTATGACGTCCAGCTGCTCCACTCCTGGAACAATAATGACCGTTCGCTCAATGTCTTCGTGAAGGAAGATGACAAGTTGATCTTTCACCGGCATCCGGTGGCCCAGAGCACAGACGCTATCAGGGGCAAAATTGGGTACACACGTGGACTACATGTGTGGCAGATCACATGGGCCATGAGGCAACGAGGCACACATGCTGTGGTGGGGGTGGCCACAGCGGATGCCCCTCTGCACTCTGTTGGGTACACAACCCTCATAGGAAATAACCACGAGTCCTGGGGCTGGGACTTGGGGCGAAACCGTCTCTACCATGATGGCAAGAACCAGCCAAGTAAAACGTACCCAGCCTTTCTGGGGCCGGATGAGACGTTCATTGTCCCTGACTCCTTTCTTGTGGCCCTGGACATGGATGATGGGACCCTGAGTTTCATTGTGGATGGACAATACATGGGAGTGGCTTTTCGGGGACTTAAGGGTAAAAAACTGTATCCTGTAGTGAGCGCCGTCTGGGGCCACTGTGAGATCCGCATGCGCTACTTGAACGGACTTGATCGTAAGTGTTCCCTGCCTTGTCTAAAGCAGAGTCCTCCCACACCCCTATGGTCCTGGCTAGTTTATGGAGTTGTTGGACTTAAAATGTCTTCGAGTCAATAGCCCAGTGTTTGTAAATCCGCAAGGTCATGTGTCTTAGTTTCTGTTGCTGTGAAGAGACGCCAGGACCACAGCAACTCTTAGAAAGGAAATATTTAATTGGGGTGGCTCGCTTACAGTTTCAGAGGTTCAGTCCATTATAATCATGGTGGGGAGCATGGCAGCGTGCAGGCAGAC